CGCAACGGTTATATATTTGTCTGTGACGTATGGGTAGATAACAATCATGAGACAAGGTCAAGTTCAGCTTACCAGGACTGACGGATTCCGATACGTCTGTACACGTATCTGCTAAGCCGCATTCACAGTAGCCTGGCGTGTTGTCCGAATTACCCCAGTAGTAATGTCTTGCTGAACTATAGTCCTCCCACCATGCATTTGGAACGCTACCTGAGAAACAAATTTGTAATTGAGTTATGACACGACATTTAATGATGATGACATTTTATGTCAAATAAAACATCAAAACTTGCGTTCCAATTTTGTGTAAACAAGCAATGTAGTTTACACGCGTTGTATATGTGGCATGGGACTCTTATTGAACACGACGCGGTGCGACGACTCGTAAGGTACTTTGTGAGATACTGTAATTGCGAATATCTTTCTTGAAAATCTCACGATGTGAAGTTCTCCAGATTAGTGACTCGCCCCCAACGGCTGCTTATATCACTGATGACGGGAGCTATCGATGAGGGCGCAATAACTAAAGTCGACGTGGTCAGGCAACAAAACTGTGTATCTACTATCATTATAACACAACTATTTGCATACTTTCTAAATTCAAGGCACTGTGGAAACAATCATATTGAATCCATTGTTTACAGTCTCCAGCATCCGCAATAACTGCCAGTATTTGATCAGTAGATACACTTCCGTAGGTAATTGCCAATGAATAAGAACCTGTCATGAAACCAGACAGACACAGATGTTATGATATTAACTGTCAGAATAATAATAATTGAGATTGCCAGTACATGTTATTTTATTTTAACTACATTCACATTCACATACACAATAATACATTGTCCGAATCGTTGCATGAACGCTGAGGGCGTATCAGCATTACGTATTTTCTTCTTATGAACAAAACTATTATTAATTAATAGTGAATCTTACCAGATTCATCGTATCCTTGGACCAAGGTACGTACTTCATAATCGTGGTGTATAGTTGTGACAGCGGCGGAGTCTGACATATCGCATGACACGGTGAACGGCGATAATATACCACTCTCTCCATCCGCATCGATAACATACTGAAATGATATATTTCTCTTTTTATTTTGCGACTTCAACATAATATAACGAGTTCATGTCACGATACATGCCATGTGTACGGCTGACTGTGAGTACGATGACTGCCATTACCCTATTCTGTTAATACATCCTTTGGTGATCGACATTAATTGTAAATTATGAATATTGAAATATCGTGTGTATATTCTGCAACTTAGCAGTTAAAATCAGTCATATCATTTCTCGGATTTTTTTTCCCGGGCCAACAGTGACATTTCTTCAGTTCAATTACATTCACTAACTCACCTGATCATTTGCGTTGTACCCGGCTTCCTTATATGCCTGACACGATTCTAAATTATCCCCATAAACTGAAAATAAAATTATTACATTTGTAAAACACGTGATGGCGATTTAATGTCACATCGGTTAGTTACGCTCTCGTCTATCAATATGTGAATACTAGAAAATGTGAAAGATTGTATTTTGCATTATCATTCGTCTCACCTGCGTTAAAATTGACAGCCAGTAAGAAGAATACAGTAAAACTCCACAATTCCATCACCAATGATTTACCAGCAATACTTAGTTATATTCGACACTGATCACGAGGTCGTTTTTGTTGTTAGTTGCAAAAGTAGTTCCGGAATTAATGCGGGTAAACAAACTTTTGATCACTAACTCAAATGTTACGTATGTTGTCGCCGGCACTCTGGCCCATGAATGCTAATATTATCACGCAAGTCAATCTAAAATAGGTTCTGTATTGCCGGTACGTTCTGGTACACCAATAATAAGGAGGGTGACCACAGTTCATTTACACAACAATTTAGTTCTTTTGACACACAATAAGCCTGTTTTCCCACCGCATTCCGGTTACTATGACAAATACAACGGCTACAATGCTCGAGTGTTCCGTTGCGTCACAGGTGAAACCTGTCAGATATTCGACATAATTGTGGTCAGGCTACACTCTAAGGGCTAAAATTAAAGCTGATCCAGTATGTTTGTTTATAGACTACCCCATTTGTATTGGGTGACCTACATCTCAGTCGCTCTATAGATGGACTGTGCCTAGATTTATACCGAGTATGGGACGTCCAAACATACGTACACTATGCAAATCAGCGGTCTATTTCAATTGTGATTTATCAACACAGTAGTAACCTGCGTAGTATGCACTTAGCGATGTGATTGTAAAACAAAAACAAAGCAGCAAATCAAAGCTACAGAATAACAGGAAAAAGAGTCTCGTCGTGAGAATAATAACGTTGGATACGTTGATGTTTAAATTGTTTGTAATGTCAGAAATAAGTGATAATGAATATAATACTAGTAGCAGATCTCACAGTAGACACTTAGACTGAGCTAACCGTTCATACGCACTTCGTTATCCCGTAGTTCCATCGCTCGTGTATATACTTGCGGTCTCTTAGTCCAGACTAAGCGTTCGTACTAATTTTCATAGCACGGGCTAACGTGTTTGAGTTTTCAGAATTTGCTAAGTAGCTGTGCACGAACGAATCGTACTGAGACCTATCAAGAGCGGGGTGTTCTGTCGTAAATACCAAGTGTATAGAAATGAAATATTTGAATTCGACAGTGACAATATCAGTACTGTACACCCGTGTTTTGTTAAATACAATTTTATTTAAAATTATCAACATACAAAATATAAAACATAGTAATATATCACATACTATTATACACGGTATTTTGTAGGAAAACGACTGACATTTGTATTTCAATCAGTCACATTGTATTTAAATCAGTTTTAGACGGCACATTGCATTGAATTCAATTCAAATGTGGTTATACAGGTCCTTTCCAAAGCTAATTGCACATTGCAAAAAAACACACAACAACAACAAAACTATATATATATTATGATTCATGTATCAATACCAAACACCCACTAAACACGCCAGTATATACTAGTATTAAGAGATACACAATTCCTTATTATCCGTTATGCTTCGTGTAGGCGGATATCGTTTAATTATAATTCATTCATAACACAACACAAAGAAGTATATACAGAAGTACTACAGAAATATACATTTTAAACTGACAATATTTGTATTAATATTGTGTAAATGACCAATTTTAATATTGACAATTACGCGTCGATTCAGAATGACCAGGCATCGTTGACGGTGCGTGGATACCCATGACTTGTACTGTGTCTTGTGTTGTTTAGATTGCCTTCTCTGCTGTATGTTTTGTTAATATTACTGTTGTCTGCCCACCTCTTTACGCCTGTCTTGGTGTTGTATACATACATTCTACCAGTAACTGTAAATACATTAACAAAATATTTTAATTAATGGGTCATGTTTTTACTGGTTGACGCACAATCACACCGCATACTGACATCAAACGGTCATCTCTAAATATGTCTCGTCCAAGAGAACACACTAGTAAATAAAATCGCCAGAGCAAGTACATGTATATTATCAACCCCATTTAGTGAACAAGAGCGCATGTGCATCCTGTGAAATATTCTAGTCATTCTGACCAAGGTAAATAGTTTACATTTATTATTTCACCTCAAACATTCCCTGACATTTGCATGCTGTAACCCTTGATCCCTGACCCGTCTTATCTAAAATTCCTCGTGTCTATTAATATATGAAACAGTATCAGTACACACGAAACCAAGTCATAATTAATTCGAAATACGATATAGTTATTGTAATTAATAATATTACAAATGTTACAATAATATCACAGACATTATTATATTATATTGTCGCATTTGCTTGATGTGAAGAAATACTAACTGCTTATATATTTATCTGTGGAGCTACTAGTTACCTGGATCAACTGCTTTCCCATCAAACAGTACATCATTTTCAATGGGTTCACCGTGAGCTAGTGTTTCCAATTGTGATGACCGGATATGACGTCTTGGTGTCTTCACGGCGTTCTTTTCAGCTTCACGCGGTGTATTGATTTTCTTCACGTTAGTCCGGGGCTCAAATGCTGCCTTACGAGCGGTGTTTGTTGGTCTGGGCTATACGAATAAACAATACCATTGGGATATCAGGGACATTATCATTGTTCTGAATCTCTGAAAGCAGCGAGTTGTACTCGCAATTTAGGTCGTTAATGTTATGCATATAAACATACATCGTTCATTGTTGAAAATCAGTATTGATTGATTGATTGATTGAAATTACGTACCAGCAGTAGGGGGTTGTTTGCGTTGGCTTTCGTATTCTTTATATATGAAACATCTGAAAAAGAAGAACCCCGTCGTGAAAACATAATCTAAGGTATCAGCTAGTGTCCGGCATTTGATGTCAAATTATGTTGGTAAACATTGCAGTCGTTCCGTGTATATTCATTCTTCTGTGACCATTTAAATTCATACAAATATTTTCATGAGCAAAACCATTGTATATTTTTTATATTCCCTTTTTCTATCTTTTCGTTATTACTATTATCTGGTAATTATCTCTTCGTATACGTTAAATATTTGTACCACTCAGCTTGATTTACACTATCGGCAATTAGCAGCTCGCACGCAGGCCTTATTCACGAGGGGACGCATAATGTTACCTGTTTTCTTGGGTGGTTGGTTCTTTGATTTTTCCAATTGTCGTGTCGTAACCCATGCCTGTGGTTCATTATATCGTGGATGATTGGCTGGTAGTCTGTGCTCTTTCCTATGAAATTTATAAATAAACACATATAAAGATAAGCAATTACGAATGGCTTAACAAAGTATTCTATATTATGATCGAATCATCAAGGGGATGCCAGGGTTGAATGATATACCCAAACAATATAGATGAATATTTGTGTTTTTTTTTTCAAATTGGATTTCATAACTTTCGCGCATGTCACTCTTGCTGATCGACGTTTTAGGTTGCATCACTATAGTGATAAACCTAGCTTTTAGTACAATTGTCGTAGAAATGAGGTCGGTGATCCAGTCACATTCTCCCCATTTTCTAATTTACTTGAGGCAGAGACACGAGCGTGTTCTCCTCATAATGAAGTGTACTGAACTTGTTCGGGCGAAAATAGAATATTGTTATCGGGTGACGTGATAAGACATACGACCTGTACATGTTCCATATACTACGTTAGTTACTTACTTTTGGCCTTGTCGTTTAATGCAGACAATAATGATGAGACACATTAGAATAATTATAATCAATGCAGCCAGACATATAGTCAGTATACCCCACCATTCTGTGTACCATGGTGTTGGATCTTCGGGATATGGAATAGTAGGATTTATCTGTAATAACACACAGTATATTGCATGTAGAGTGCAATTGGCAGACGTTCAGTGATATAGATAATATAAATATATGTGAAGTGTCAATATTTAAAGCACACTGCATCACGATTGACGACTTCCTAGACTGCATATAGTATTATGTCACACGTGTTGCAATTTTTTATTTAAGGATAAATAAAACGAAATTACTTTTACTATGAAAACCTTAGCATCCCCGTTGGCAGGCCAGTCACACTGGTTCTCACTATAAGAGGTTACGACCCCCGCCAAATGCTAAGGAAAACTGAAACGTATATATACATATTTACGTGAAATATTGTCCACCTATGCGGATCAGTTTGTGCAGGAGTTTTACGACGGTATGCCTTTACTGACGTCAACCAAACCTGTTACGTTATACCAGCACTATTTATAGCTGTATTGTGATTATTATCTGTGGAACTTACTTGCTCAATCTCGAAAATATCAAACGCGGTTGTCAATAGCACGTTGCTTGGATCGCCACCTTGTGCCTCTGCAGATAAAACGCGTAATATTTCCTCCCTGGTAAGAAAGTCTGCTTCTGAGTCAATACCATCAATGGTTTCAGTTTCTTGGGTGCGCATACCGTAGATTGAAATAATGGTATAGTCTTCAGTGCTAAAAATAAAATTTATAACATATTACACGTCAAATGCACTTCAAAAAAGTTACATAAAATGCTCTTTTGTGGTTTATATTAATGGTGCCATGCGAATATTATGGAATTTAAAAATTAGTATTACAAGAAAAAAACATGATTCTCGCATCACGTTAATAACTATTACTTACACCAGAAGACGTCGTCTGAGTGACGTAGTTGCCGTTCTTGTCAGACATCTCGTATCCCAGACACCGATGAATCCAGGGGAAAACAGGGAACTTGTTTGTGATATGAATTCAGCTTTCAATGATTCGAACGTACTGCACGATGTTCCAAACTGAATGTCAACACTATATCCCTCTTTGTCAAAAGTATCAACGCGAATAGTCGCAAGGTCAGAGGTCAAAGACGGTTCGCCTGCAAACAATAATTTCACAGTGTTAAATCACGACTTTATTGTTGAAAATGATTTCCTGTCAATCATGTATTGTTTGTTTGTTATTTATTTATTGGGCTTGGTCTTGGATTTTTGTAATTTGCTTTACGAATTTCGATTATGAATCCATGGTGTATGATATTATTTTCTATTTCCGACTAATTAATTACCAATAATTAACGATTAATGGCTTTCCCAAAATCTTATCTTCTCTATGCCCATAATCAAGAATTACTAGAACCAGAAGCCCTATTCCCAACATTCTAACTAATCTACCATTCTTACCCGAATCTCTAGCTATGACGTGCGTTTTGTATGTGTCCAACAATAGCGACGCAGTTGTGAGGTAAGTCAACTCGCCGGTGAAAATATCCATCTGGAACACGTCAGTGTATTCAACTAGTGAGAATTGGAATTCAGCATTAGTGTCCAGATCAGCGTCTGTGGCTACTACCACTAATAGTACATCCGTTTTACCGTAGTCGTTCGGTATCCTAGCAACGTAGTAGGAAGGGTCGAATATTGGTTTGTTGTCATTGAGATCTAGATTGGTAACTACAACAAGGGTAGTAGATGTAAGAACGGGCACGCCGTTGTCTGATGCGATGACGTGAAATTCGATGATCTCGTTCGCCTCTCGATCTGTCGGTTCGTTGATTGTTATCTCGCCAGTGGAGGCGTCGATTTGAAAGTGGTCTAATCCCAACGTATCATCGGTGTCGATGGCATAGTTTAGGAGGGAATTCTCGTTGATATCTATATCCGTAGCGACGACAGTCAGTACCGAGGTTCCCGTTTCCAGATTCTCGTCGATGTCTATCGCGTATTCACTCTGAGTATACACTGGGTTGTTATCGTTGACATCTTCCAGTATGACACGCGTTACTACCGTGTTTTGCATCATAATCTTTTGACCTAGGTCAATAACTTTGATAACCAGTATGTACTGTGATATTAATTCCCGGTCAAAACCGTCACCCGCGTATAGGTACCCGGTAACATCGTGGAGCGTGAAATGACCGTAATCACCGCTTACAATTGTATAGCGAAGTTGAGAGTTTGTTCCATTATCGACATCAAAAGCCGAAATATTCCCGATGTATCCACCAACCAATATATCCTCGTACACAGTAAATGTATAATTGTACGAATCAAATTGAGCAAAATTGTCATTAACATCAATTAGGTTAATATACAATGTGACGTTGGTAGATTGCGGCTCGTAACCGGCATCATACGCCTCTATGGTAATATTGTAGGTTGCTATACTCTCTCTGTCCAGTAACTTGTCTGTGATTACATAACCTAATGCCTGGTCAATTCGAAAAGAACCAGCCTGATTTCCAGAGACGATACGATAGCTTATTAACCGGTTTATGTCTTTGTCTGCGTCGGTGGATTGAACATGCAGAATTGTGGTACCGATTGCAACACTTTCCTCAATGTCAATGTGATAAGGGTCGGAAGAGAAAACGGGTGCGTTGTCATTCTCATCGATAAAATTGACTGTGAACGAGGCTGTGTCGGTTCTGGTTACCGTTCCGTTGTCTGAGACTTCCAGAGTTAAGATGTACGTTTCTTGATCTTCCCGGTCAGGTGACACCACGAGAGACACCTCACCGTCGTCGTTGATGGCAAACTTACTAGGTATGTCGTCGCCATTGATTATAGCGAATGACAACAGTGCATTGTTGTCAATATCAGCATCACTCGCTCGTACCTGGTAGATAACGGTGTCATTGGGCAAATTTTCACGTACGTTGACCACGTAAACATTGGGAGTGAACATGGGATCGTTGTCGTTGAGGTCATTCACCCACACGATGAGTCCCTTCAAAGTCGATAAAGCAGGCGTGCCACCGTCAGTTGCGGTGATCATAAGATAATATCGCTCTTTGCGTTCTCTGTCTAAAGTACTGATTGCAGTGCGTATTTTGCCAGATGGTGGATCGATACTGTAAGACAGATATTGGATATCATTTAGTGAGTAAATACAAATCAAACAAATCATTGAATAAACAAAATGCTATTCGCTACTCATCAAAATAAAAATTGGGGCATGTCATTAAATGAAGCGTACTCACCTGAATGCCGCCCAGCCGTCTCCCCCGACAATAGCATAACTAATTTCAGAATTTTCATCGATATCAGCATCCGTGGCCTGGACAGTGAAGAAGTGATAGCCAGATGGAACATTTTCGTCCACATATATCTCATTTAAGTCACTTGGGAACAACGGGTAGTTGTCGTTGACGTCTTCAATAACGACAGTCAAAAGCATGAAATCAACAAACGTGTCATTTTCATTGATGCCATCATCCATGACAGTTATATTCAGGTAGTGAGTGTCGTTCCTTTCCCTGTCAAGGAAAGCCCCGACTCGTACCATACCAGTGTATCTGTTACAAAGGAACTGTGATCCGCCGTATTCGTTTCCGTCTATTACGTAATATGACAACACTCCGTGTCTTCCCTTGTCCAAATCAGTGGCATTAGCGTCGAAAACCTTCGTTCCCAGAATGACATCTTCCGATATGAATACAGTGAACGTTTCATGGTCAAACTTTGGCGTGTATTCGTTCTCTGATAGAACATTCACAGTGACCGTGGCGTCAGCGGTCAGTTCAGAAGATGCGTCACCCAAGTTATGAGCACGTATTGTCAGTTTATATAAATCCAAAACCTCGTGGTCGAGTTTCTTATCTATCTTTAAGATGTTATTGTCCAGACGGAAGACGTTATCAATATTCCCACTTTCAATAGTAAACGTGTGCACAGAATTAGCCGTCAGATCGGCATCTGTCGTCGTCAGTGTCACAATAGCCGTTTCAGGAAGAGCGCCCTCTAGAACATCTATACTGTACGTCTGTGGTGTAAACACTGGTGGATTATCATTGTTGTCATCAACTAAGATATTATAGTCTACCGTATTTGTAAATATGACAGAAGCTCCTTCGATGTTGTCCGAGACTTGGATTACTAAGTTGTACGTATCTGTAGTTTCCCTGTCGAGCGATGCTGCGATTCGGATTTCTCCCGTTACTTCGTCAATTGCCCATTTATTTTCTTCGTTACCACTAGCAATGCTGAACCGCAGAAAAGCGTGGTAATCGCCAATGTCACCATCAGCAGCGAATACCTATAAGCATAACAGGAACAAAATATAAATTATATGAATGTACAAATTGATTAGTGGCCATCACGTGTACTAGTCAATGCAGACAAATTAGAAATTGGTGGTTTTTCTTTAATATATTTCAAATTTATATACCTGCCCAACAACAGTGTCAATAGTGGTCCTCTCTTCAACGTTGATTGTAGAATACGACGCTGGGTTGAAATATGGCGTATATTCATTGACTGGTAGAACGTTAATCGTAACCATGGCGTCACCGGAAAGAGCCAATGAATTACCGACACCATCTACCCCGCTATCGTAGGCTGTCACGGTTAAGGTGTACTGAGCAGTATTTTCTATATCTAATATCTGTTGGAGTAATATTCTCACACCAGAACCCGTAGACTCTAATGTGAATTTACCCTCGTCGTTACCCGCAGTGATCTGGTAGGAAAGGTCAGAGTTCACGCCCAAGTCGTTATCAGAGCAAGCTAATGTAACAAGTGTTGTCCCGATCTGAGTGTCCTCCAGCCATTCGGCATTGTATACAGTTGGAGTAAATATGGGATAGTTATCGTTGGCGTCCTCAACATACACCGTTATTGTAACGTCTGCATACTTTGGCCCCACTGGCGTAGTCGCTTGGTCAGTGGCTCGGGCAGTCAGAGTGTACTCGTCGTACACCTCTCTATCTAAAGCGGCTTTCACTTCAACATCTCCACTGAGAGCATCGATGTGGAACTTCTGTAATCCATTATCCGAACCAGACACCAGGGAATATACAATTTCACCGTCTTCGTAAGCATCGTCATCGGTAGCGACCACCTGTAGGAACGAATACCCATGGTCGCTGTCTTCGCGAACATATCTTACGTATAGGGCACTCTGCCAGACCGGTGTGAATTCGTTCACTTGAATTACCCGGATGTTAATCGTTGCCGTGGACGTTAGGGAAGGAGTTCCGAGGTCATTTACGTACACCACTAAACTATAATACTCAGTAGTTTCAATATCTAACCCTCCTGGCATAGTTATCTCACCGCTGGAGGCATCGATACTAAAGTCAGCATTGGTGTTGCTTGAAACATCGAGTTCAAAATTAAACATGGCATTGACTCCAATATCGCTATCTGTCGTGTAGCTATAAACGTTAGTGATAAGCGTAGAACCATCTCCGACATTCTCGTATACCTCCTCTGCGAAAATATTTGGGTTGATATAAGGTTCGTTGTCGTTATAGTCATCAATGGTGACAATCACAATGTCGGTTGCTGTCAGGGACGATACGCCGGCGCTGTCAATGCAGTAAATCTCGAGGCTGTAGCTTGGGTACAACTCACGATTTAAGGATTCTGCCGT